GAGGGGTAGGCCAGGTTAGAGCTGTGCACATGGGTCCCTGCCCATACCATGGGGCTGGGACCAGTAGTGGCAGTAACTGAGAGGACCTGCCACCACCTGGGCTGCCTATAAAGGCATCCTAGCTATGGAACCTCCCCAGCCCTGCTGTGTACCACAGGCTGGACAGTACTGCAGGCCATATTTTGCCCAACCCTGCCATAGACAATACTCTCCACACTGTCCCTCCTCCCACCCCGACTCTACGTCAATTATTGCATCTCCCTTCCCCCTGCCAATACTGTTAGAATCAATATCCCTTTTGTTTCCTTCTTTGTCCCGTGTTTATGAGCATTGGACCACATTGTCTCGAGTACAGAACAATCTCTCACTTAGACACACCTTTATCTCTTCCCTCATACAAGCCCCTTCTTTTGGCCATTTTAACAATATTGGTTCCATCCTGCTCACTGAATTTTATCTAGTCTCTCTCTGACGCCATATTCTTCAAGAGAGGGAAAGTCTTCCTGTTTGTTTTATACAGTATTAAAAACAAGGACAATGGTTAATCATATCTTACACAACTTCATTCTTGTTTCATAATCCCCAGTTGGCGCAGTTAATTTTTTTAACCTATATTAGAACCAAGTCCTTCAAAAAGGACAAGTGCAAGGTGCTGCACCTAGAGAGAGGGAATCACCAGCATAACTATAGGCAGGGGGCGGGGAAGATGACCTTCTCAGCAGCAGAAAGAGATCCGAGTCGTTGTCAACTCCACAATAAATACAAGTCATCAATGTGACAGAACAATTAGCAGAGCTAACTGCACTTTGCCATGCATTAGTAGGTGCATCACGAACAGGTCCAGGGAGGTGATGCTGCCCCTCTATGCTGCACTGGTCAGGCTGCAGCTAGATTACTGAGCCCAATTCTGGGCACCACAATTCAAGAAGGATGTGGACAACCTTGAGGGTCCAGAAGAGGGCCACTCATATGGTTAGATGCCTGCAGGGAAGGCCTTATGAGGAAAGGCTGAGGCTGAGATGGGGAGAAGGGCGCAGCGCAGCCCAGTGGCTGCAAGCAGGCAGCGTCTGCCATTCCTGGGGCTGAAGCAGGAGCAGCACCAGGCTCTTTGTGGCACTCCAGGTGGGCAGAAGCCCTACTCACCCCGCTTCTCCCCACTCACTGCAGGCCCTGCTGCAACAGGCCCTGGGAGCGGCCGACGCCAGCTGCCTGCAGCCACCGGGCTGAACTATGCCCTGAACCCCCCAGCAGCCCAATCATGCGTTGAGTCCCACCACGTTTCTGTAATCCCCCCTATGTCCTAGCTGGTGTGCTCCACTCGCAATTCCCGCGATTGAGGCTCAGGTGGCCTTAGCCGTGCCTGGCCTCAGACCCCCTTCCCAGGTCCTATGCCCACTGGGCTCCTCCCGATGCTGCCCCCCTGGGGCCGGGGTCGGGACACCCCCAAAACACGGCACGCTCTGTAGTGCCAGGAACCCCCCCACGCTACTGGGGAGCTCCCCTGAGGCCTCCTCCAACCCCTACAGCCTCTCCCAGTCCTCCGGTTGTAACAATAACTAAAACCATCAGCCAATTGGCCCCAACTCAAACTCTAGCCTCATGGCTTAAAACGTAACCCTAAGCCCTCTCTGGCTCACCATCATTCCATCCCTGCCAGGGCTCCTCTGCCTGGTATCCTCACCCAGGAACTGCTCAGATCATCAGGCTTCCCAACTCTGCCTACTCCCGGCAGAGCTCTCTCCTTCACGGCTGCCAGAGGGGAACTGCCTCTTGGCCTCAGCCTAGGCTGTTTATATAGACCAGGCCCTGCCCCCTTCTGGTCGGCTGACTGACTGTGGTTACCCTGGCAACCAACACCTGTATTTCTTCCTAGGAGCAGGGCACCACAGTGCCCCTGGGACAGTCAGGTATAAAACACAACTTTAAAACTAATTTGATGAAAACTAAACCAAACAGAAGGTATAGGTTGTAGCTGTGCTGGTCTAAGGACATAGGCAGATAAGGTTCTTTGGGCAAATCTGATATCTTTTATTAGACCAATGCAAATAGTTGGAAAAATTCTTTTTTGCAAGCTTTTGGGTATAAATACCCTTCATCAAGCTGAGGAAGCATCTGTAGTTGGTGTGTGCTCTTCCTGGATGGAATGAATAGTAAGGAAGCCAGAGGCTGGTAAGCATGCAAGAAAGCCAGTCAGTAAAGATGTAAAACCAAACAGAACTGGTTTACAGCGTGTTGTCTGTGTAAATTGTTCTACAGAGACAACAGTCAGACAAAACTCTTGTGGTAGAGGCAATATCTTTTATTAGATCAACTAGATAGTTGCAAAAAAAATTGGTTTTTTATTTGCAAGCTTTTGGGCCCAAACACCCTTCATTAGGCAAAGGAGAATTCAAAGATTGTAAAATTTCTCCCTGGTAGAAACAAAACTTCATATTGCACAGGAGAACTAAAAGCTGATAAAGCTCTCCTGGGTAAGGAAGTTCATTTGTAAAGAGACTGTTCTTCAGGTAAGCAAATTAGGCTCAAACAAAGGCTGTAGTAGTTTGTTAACCAAGGGTTCTCCACTGGCATGCAAGTTGCTGAATTTTGCTTCCTTAAGTTGTTTATGTTGCACATGAGAACTAAAAAGGTGGTACGGTTCTCCTGAGTGGTAAAGTTCATTTGTAAAAAAGCTGCTCTGTGAGTTTATTTCAAAATGGCTAACTATGATATGCTCCGTTTCAGGGATATGTGTTGTAGCCGTATTGGTCTAGAGGTTGCAAAAAAAAAAATTATCTCCCTATGCCTCTAGACCAACACGGCTAGAACAAATATCCCTCAAACATCTACAGCAACAACACACTGTGGAACTGAATAGTCCCTTCCTAAAGTTGAGCCTCCTTACTCATGCTAATTACTTGTTACTCCTTGGTGGAGATCAGAGATATTACATGGAAGATTATGGTATCCCAGCCAAATTACGTCTACGTGGGAGTTCAAGGACATTTATCCTAACGTATATCTTTTCCCCCTTTAATATTTATCGTAGTACTTGATTATCTCCTGCAGTGTTTCTATTAATGATCTCTTCAAGAAGGACACATTATAAATGTAAAAGAGGTACACAGCCAAGTTGACAGCATACATTTCTTACATATAAAAAACATTAAGGAAGTAACTAATCATGGAATACCTATGATGCCAGAACTAACAGCATGAAGAAGGGTCTATATATGAATGCACTGAATATAATTGTATACCATTATATTGCAGGTATATCTAGAGTCCCAATCAAGTTTGGGTCCTATTTTAAGTCATGGTACATACATGCAGTAAAATAAAAAAGTCCCTGTTGAAGAAAATATATTCTTAAAATATTGTCTGGATGTTACCACTAAATATCACAAGTGTGTTCTGCAGAAAATCTCTGGCTCATAAGAGCAATTGGCCACTCTATCTTTAGCCTATTTCTACTTCTCCAACATTGGCTATACCTTAGGATGCAGGCTTTATGCAGCTTCATTTTATATAAAAGAAAATAATTTGCCCTCCATTGCATATCTTTCTTTTTAATTAGAACCTGAATTTTTCCATATACCATCTTCACAGAGTCCCACCACCACATACTCCTCATATAGAAAAGGTAGTGGTCATTATACATGCACAACAACATTAGAAGTCACTCTACCGATACCATGAGACATACTGGAGCCAAATATTACTGGGTAACTGTCCAAACTGACTGAGTCTGGATTCTTTTAATTTCAGAGCACCCAAACTGTCATCTCTAATTCTTGTATTAGTTAAGCAATCCGCTGTGCTATAAAACACTCGTTTACAACAGCATATTTCCCCATGCTTATACTACTACACATTTCCTAGCAACTGGCAGTTTGGAGGTGGAGGAGGAAGCATCTGCCATTTAATACGACATTGTAATAGCATTCAGTATCTAATCACAAATATACTAAGCAATGGCTCTCACCCCACCAAAGCTCTAATGGACAAATGGGCCTCAGCATGGGGGACAATGCATGATCAAACTGGAGAATATGCAGACTTAATCTGTTAACCATTCGTAAAAATAATTTCTTAACCTCAGCTCAATAGCCAACTTCTTTCTTGATGACCCATGTTGGCCTTCCTAGGGAAAGGGTTGAATTCCAACAATACTGAAGGCCAGAGATGTGATGGAAAAAGCCTATATTTAAATGGAACTTACCACATCAAATAGGAGATCTGCATATCGAATGTCCATCAGTAATTCTGTAGAGTTGTTAATCTGATTATTCCCCCCACCCAAACACAGACAGAACCTCTTATGTTAAAATAAGCGATGAATAATTTCCTGATGAGTGGTGGAATTGAGACATCAAAAGTTACAACCAATCACAAAAATGACAAATTCAAGTTTACGCTGTTCTATAGGTTAAAAAAGCTAGAATCACCCATGAAATTGTAAACTTTGATATCACAGCTATAGAAATGGCTTACTGGATGCAACACTCTGCCACACCATATAGAACTATACACACACAGATACATAACAGGTGTTACAAATGCAAGGAAGATATACAGAAATCAGTGAGAGCAAGGCTGGTATTTATTATCATATATCCAAGTAGAAAAACAGGTAGGAAGAATATGAAGATCCATCCAGTATCACCTGATGAGTAAAAATAAATGCCAATTGTCAAAACATACTAACTTGCTGTTTGAGAAATTTCCTCAGTTAATGCCATTTTAATTCTTAAGGAGTTAGATGTTTCAAAGAACTTAATAGATCTGTATTTTTTTAAAACTTTGACACCAATTACAAATGATTAAGAGAATTCTGATGGACATTTGCAACTCCCTGCACCATAAATTTTGCCAGGAAACTGCTTTTTTGTAGCCTCAACAAGTTTAACTGTCATCATGCCACTGTATACCAGTTATAATGTCTATCACCTCCACCCCTTTACAGGGTTCCATTTTCAAAAGCAACCTTTGAAGACAGTGAAACAAGATCTAGACACAAGTGACCACTACTGTTCTTTTTTATTATTTTTTTAAGAACCTGCAGTAAAATCTTGACCACTTAAAATCCAGTTTATTGTGCATTCATTGGAAAGGACAAAAAACGTGCATTATATTTAAAAAAGTGTAGAGAGAGATGACTTACAACAGATATTCTTTTGTAGAAAACAAAACCACATCTTAAAACAGGAATAAATAGTTTAAGAATGCCTGTTTTGAGTTTTCAGTTTGCAAAAGGTGGCTCTTTAAAAGAAGACTAAGCCAAAGCAGCCATATTTTGGGGAAAAAAAAATATTAATGCTTCTCAGAAGTCTGAGTGGTTATGCTTTTAAGAGTTTAATGCCATTCACATATTAATTCTTTGAGTGATGTGTAGCAAAATTGCTGTAATTATTTAGACATAACCACACACAGCATAATAGTTATAGTAAACTGAGTTTACTCTTAAAATAGCTAATTACATGCAGCATTTGTACAAAGCCTGTTTTGTCCAGATCTCTCCAAGTTGTACGAAGAAATGCATTTGTTCCCTTTGAGCACTGCTATTTTCTATATGCAGCCATTATGCAAACAGAAAGAATCTGTCCAAGAATCAGTTCAAAATAATATCCTACCAAGAGTAGGGCACAGCTCCAAACTTCATTAAAAGTCAGCCTTGAGTATTGACTTTTGTCATTACTTCCAGGTGGTGAGCACAGGCTTTCCTGAATCTCTTGCTCGATTTCCTTTTATTCCAATGGACTGCCCCGACCGGCTTCTCAAATCACGGTCTGGCCCATCACTTTGTGCCATCTCTTCATCATACCTAAAATGAAATAACTTCTTCAGTGCATCTTAATGCTTCTGTTCACAAGACAGCAAAAGGCATAACAATAACTTTTCCTTTCTTTGTTACTGCTTAATTATTAACTTACATTAGGGGTGGGCAAAATACAGCCTGCGGGCCGCATGCAGCCTGCAAGGCCATTCTGTCTGGCCCATGGGGCCCATAAAAATTTAGAAAATTAATATTTATCTGCCCTTGGTTCCTGTAAAAAGTGACAGGAAGCAAGGGCAGTAGGACCCAGGGGAAGCCCGGTGGGCTCCCGCAACAGCAGGGCATACCCAGCCCTGCCCCCCCCAGCCGGAAGCCCCAGTAGGGGCTTCTGGCCCGGGACCACATGGCTGCCCTGGCTGGAACCTCAGGTAAAGAGGAAAGCAAGGGTAGGGCAGGGGAGAACGCCAGGCAGGTAAGGAGCCCGGGAAAAAGTGGCCCAGGGAAAAGCTGAGCGCGGGGAGGAGGGGAAGCGGCCCCTCCCCTGCCCCGTGGCCGGCACCCCACATTGCAGCCACTCGCAGCCCATGTGGGGCTGCCTGTTCCTGCTCCAGACAGCCCTGTGCAGGCTGCAAGCGCCGGCCACTTTCCCCACACCCCGTGCTCAGCTTTTCCCTGGGCTCCTTCCCAGCACAGAGGAAAGCGGTCCCTCCCCCACCCCATGGCCAGCACCCCACGCTGCGGCTGCTCCCCACTCCCAACCCCGCGCTCATCTTTTCCCTGAGCTCCTTCTCAGCACAGGGAAAAGCAGCTCCTCCCCCACTCCATGCCCAGCGCCCCATGCTGCAGGCACTCGCAGTCCAAGGTTGGAGCCAGGCACAGGGCAGGCAAGGGGCCATTTTGCCCCCCCCCCCCCCCCCCCCCCCCCC